TATAAGTGTAAAAACATTAAAGGAACAAGAAGGAGTTTCTTTAGGTTTCTCAAAGTTCAGAATCTGAGAAGGCTGTGGATGGAAAGAGTGGGAGTCCAGTGAAACAGCTTTATCATGTTTAGTTTATTTTCAATGCACAAATTATGAGGTAAATCCTGAATTCATAAAGAGTTTAAGCTTCAAACTTGATAAAACATTAAAGATAAATGTGTCATTTTTCTTCAGTTACACAGGGGGAAAAGGACCGAAGAGGGATTATTGCTAGAAATTCAAATTAAAAGAGGAATACACCAGGGATGTGTCCTTTCCCCATGTCTACTTAATTTGTACATAGAAAACATCTTTCGCAGCATTGAGAGTAGCAAAGGTAGTAAGATTGGTGGTATGGTGGTAAATAATTTAATATATGCTGATGACACTGTACTGATTGCTGAAACAGAACAAGACTTACAAGATATTTTGAATGATGTAAATAACACAGTAAGGAGGTATGGAATGAAAATGAATGCTAAGAAGACAAAGAGTATGCTGATAAGTAGACATGATAATAAGCCAGAAATTCAGATAAAATTAGAAGAAAAAGACATACAACAAGTAGAGAAATTCGCATACTTCAGCCAGACCATTACATGTGATGGAAAATATGAAGCTGAAATAGTGAAGAGGATTGAGGTGGCAAGAGGTGCCTTTAATAGTATGAAAACAAGTCTGACATCAAAGAACATAAGAGGTAAAAACAAGGAAGAAAATAATAAAAAGTGCTATATGTGGTTAACTCTGTTATATGGCTGTGAAGCATGGACCTTGACACAAGCATTGATTAACAAACTGGAAGCATTTGAGATGTGGGTGTAAAGACATACTAGAGGGTCAAATAGAATCCCTTCAGATACAGGGGAAGACCAAGAACAGAGTAGATAACAAATATTAAAGAGTGGACTGAGATAGCAAGATATGAAAACCTGGTGACAAAAGCACAGAACAACAGAAGTGGAGGTTTGTTACAGCCAACCTTCCTGAGGAAAATGACACGTGATGATGATGACAGGTAAAAAAAGAAAAGAAGTGTTGTTGACAAGCAACAAAGGATGCTGGTAAATAATTTAACAACATTTGGATGTGTTGTATGAATAGGTCTATATTTTATAAGGCTGAGATACATGTTTTTGAAATAGTCTTTGTACACAGAGTTCCTGTCCATGCGGTACATGATTCCAGTAACATTTTTACTCATTTACTCACACTAATTGTTTTTTAAATTTCTGATCAAAACACTGTTCCTCTGTGTTGCTG